GGCTAGACGCTCATACAGAATTCATGAGATTTGGGCTGGCGAGTCTGTCCACCAGCGCAGCACACAAACACTGCTATAGTACTACTGACATATGATGACGCACCCTGGGGACATTTTCACTGTCAATGTAACACCATTTAATCCTCAAACAGATTATAGATTATTCTAATTACTCATCATGCCGACACTAGAGTAGCACATGTCATGTCACCTAATCTCATCAATATATTGATTATTCTACTCGTTTAGGTTGATGCTAAAATTTCAACACTACCTGCTTAAAGTAGCCATCGTCCCCAAAAGGACGAAGACATATTATATGATTAGCTTGGATGATTTTCATGATGGACAATCTAAGAAATTTTAGCGTAAAATTAACGTAAAAGTTCAGAACCTTCGGCTCTCAGGTTGCAAAGAGGTGGAAATCATAGTGGAAATCTTCCTTCGAAAACTTAATACGTGCACAGCTCACCAACGTATTCCTTCCTGTAAAACTGGAAATTCAAATGCCAGGAAAATAAAAGAACTATGAAGGGTCAATAATTCCGGAAAGGTCTTGTAATCTGCATTGTTACGATCTAGCTTACAACTTGTTGTATCGATCTCTACACTAAAAGCCGATCGTCTTGTTGGATCACCAGGTAGCAAAAGCACAATGGTTTGTCCAGCAACACCTGTCCGACCGCCTGGGGTCAAGATTAGGGCCACACGAGTGAATAGCCTTTAGCTATTAACTCGCCGAAAGTAATAGTGCCTAGTTCTGAAAACTTGCGACAACCATTTCCACATGCTGACAAAAAACAAGTGGACGACTTGGTCCACGAAGTTAAAACATCGTTCAAACTTGTAAAGGAATCGTGAGTTTGTCACAGTGACACGCATGTACATCATTTTGGGTCCTGTTACACATGAAAAAGTTTTATATCTTAAAGTTTCCATCAGTTCCTCATGATCTTTCCTGCATGTCATTTAACTCGTAGAGGTAGCAATCTTGGCAGTTGGATTCAGGCGTAGTCAAAGGGCATTAAGTTGTCGTTTATTCAATCTGTCCGAGTTCGATGAGTTCGACGGAATTTCACAAATACGTTTGTTAATTGCTTTGATATTTTTCGGTTTTGTTAACCGTTGCTTTTGTAACATGTAGTTTCGCTGTTTATTTTTCATTTTTTGCCTCTCTTTTCTTGGTATTTGTGTGGTTTTGACCTGTACTTGCATTTGAACAGCCCGGCTCAGCAATCACTCAATCATCGATGCATTGCCGATATATGAGTCACTTTTATAACTTTACTTTATACGACCCTCGTGGCAAGTGCAAACCACCATGGATTTTCCTTCCGACTCGGGCCGGCACCAAGCAAGGGGGCCCCGCCGGGAAATCGGAGTCGTTCGCGGTTCATCAAAAATTACGGAGTGAGGTGTGAAGTTGATGTGTTTGTGCGATAATGTGAACGACTCCAGACTTGGAATGGAGAAGGGGAGAAGGCTGGTGGTACCCGGGTGGCATTTGACGGGTGTTGGGTGCAATATTTACAAGATCAGTCCACGCAGGATTGGGATTTCACAAATATGACGCCGAAATCGAGATGTGTTAGCTGAAAAATGTCTATACGGATTTAAATTTCGAATGCAGATAAAAACTGGGTCTATATGAGAAATCGAGAGGATCGACATAACAGATGACCACCATGTCATCAAAGTTTGCATTTCTCATAAGTTTATTTTAACTTGCGAAATGGGGTCAACCGAGCAAAGAGCCCAATGGGAGCTATTCGCAGCCCGATGAAATCTACTTCAACTATCAGAAGATGTGGATTTTTTTTCGTGCAGAAAAGAAACTGCAATGACCTCGGTGATAGCAGTTTACAGCTAACTGAAGCCAACCTTGATTCCATTGTCAGGGTTGGGAAACCGGTGACGGACTAATTTCTGTTCAAGTTGAAAAGAAGAATTCTCTTCTTTATATTTAACCATGGAGGAAGGAACACCTCCATGATTTAACCACTATACGCAGACCGTCCTCCCCTAAATCAGAATTAATCCATAATACGTATCACCACCACGCTGTGCGCCAGTTTTTCCAAGCTTAAGATTTATATTCCCTTTTTTGTGTCCGATGCACATGCATTACACCAGTTACAATTGTGACTAAAATCATCTGACTGCCCATTTCAGCTTATCAAAATGTAGGTTCACTTTGGTTTATTTTCCTCTCCAGATTTATGGATAGAGAAAATAGCATGCAGACTTCGAAGGTACACAATGAATGTTTATGAGCAAACGTACGTGCTGACGAGAAGGGACAATCGAAATAAAACCTGAATAACATCCACAAACGATTTCTTTTAGCTTCCCCTGTATTCTATTGTTACAATCCTTTGTACATTCATAGATTGTCACGGTAGAAGGGCACATTTTATATTGTTTTCTGCTTCACCGATTCCGAGCTTTATTCCGACGAACGGCTAAGAAAATATCGCGAATAGTCACCCAGCCAGCAATTCAAGGATGAGGCCTAACTTAATGGGCAACTGCGTCATGCATAAATCCGTCGTAAAAAAGAATGCACAAGAATGCCTTGGTGTTGCTTGAAACATGGAGGAACTGATTGAAGTTGCCTTGCTTCACCGTAGCCACGTTATTAAAGTTCACATTTCCCCATCAAGCAACAAGTCGTTTGCCTCCAACAACGCCCGTGTACTATGCCTACCGAAAAATAGGGAGAAGACTGACGGCCACATCGTCTACATATGTTTTCCCGTAATCCATTAGCCGTACACTTCAAAAGCTTGAATACCAATCAGCAGTGGCCTAACTACGGGGGGGGGACAGGTGGCTCAAACAGAAGTCGATGGTCCTTCCTGGATCCCCCCCCCTGCAAGTTTTAAACGTACACAGGCAGCCCATATGCTTTCCAGTGTCCCTTCCAAAATGTGGGCACCCCCGGCTGCCTACTCATAATTTCAGCACCCTACTAACCCCGGTCCCCTTCATCGATGAACAGTGAGTACTCAAATTGTCTTTGACCGACACAGGATGCTGGGATGCTTCCGATGCCGAAAAGAATGATATAAAAACAACCGACTAAGTGACGTTTTTGGGTGTGCTACCTGCCATCAATACAAGCTAGTAAAATGAACAATGAAAGTTCATATACTGGGCCTGTATGTCCCACTAACAGGGAAACATGGGTTGATAGAATAATTTAAACTATGAATGGGAATAAAAGCAAGTTTCGATGAAAATTGTTGGAATTCCCTGCTCTAAATAAAATGATAAGATAAATTCTTAAAATATATTCAACAAAAAAAAATCGGCCACCTTTGCAGGCGCGCCGTTTCTGTTAACTAGTTTAACCTTCCATAAAAACTGGCCGAGCACTTACTCTCAGGTGGTGAAAGGTGAATGTAAACTCGCACACAGCGTGCGTGACGCTCCGTAAAGACCCAGCATAGACGAGAACTCGGTGCTGAGTGAAGCGAACCAGACCACAAATTGTCTCGGGGGTGTGAAGGGTTCTCAGATCAGTTTTCCACTTCCAACAGCCGTCAATTCGACTTCGAAAAATTCATCGTAATCACTGGTTGCTCATTAACTACATTAACTAATTTTGAAACCTAATGAATTTTATCCTGGTTTGATGGAAGCAAATTTATGTAAATCAGACTGCATGACCTACATGTACGACGACTGTTGACTGAAAAATTGTACAGGCCACCATTTTATTCTGGTAACTTGTCGCAATTAAGCAAAGACACTTGAAAGTGCCACTTTCTACTGAAACTTAGTGGTCATATCTCAAAATTAGTTCGGATATTTTTCTTTGATTAAGTAATTATTAGTAGGCCTACATCACCAATCGTAGTCCTCGCCAAATTATTTGTCAAAGAAATCCAGGCACCAACAGGAGAAAACCAACCCATGCATTTTGGTTATTTTTGCCAAAATACACCCGTTTTTTTTAAACTGATGTTAAAAGCATTAATAAAAACAAATCTCATCAGAATAATGATAAACTTAGAGTCGCTGTGTGACAGGTCTGAAAGTTTCAGACAGGAAACAGTTTCAGATCATCGCCCAAATCAATATTTTATTATCTGATTCCAACCGCCATTGTTCTCATTGTTGGGCGTACATACTCCACGCTTCTGACTGTGTTACTCCAACGGAGCGTGTGGTGTATTGTGGATGGGCCAATTATTTTGACATCTGTAGGACAATGCTAGACCACTCATCACCTGTTGTGGGGCAGGCATGCGACCTTGAACCACCTACAATGCTTAGTACTCCCTCACACTCCCTCGATGTCAACATCTGTTTGTAATTGTTACAAAAAAATGCAATAAATACGTGTCATATTCAACCTATAATGCTATTCCTATCATACAATATTGCACTGTTCCGATATTCTGCTTAAACATGTTTTAATAACTTAAACACCCATTTTCCCGTTCTGAAAACTCCACTTGATTTAAACAGCTTTCAGTCGGCCGAGATTCACCAGTCGTACTTACTAATGTTGGAATTCGGTATTGTTTGTCAATTTTTAATTTGATCTTTACTTAAGTTAAGAATTCGGGCTGAACTGTCTTGAGGGAGGGGCAGCCAGTTTTAAATGGGGGTATCCCGTATGGTGGTTTTTGGATTGTCACTTTAATTTACTGATTTTTACAGTCTTTTTGGCCCTTTCTGCTTTGTTTTCCGGTCGTGGAATCTACCGCGCGTGGGCGGCTGGTTGTTTCAGATCCTCATCTGTATCTGCACTATCATAATAGAGAGATCAGTCGTTTTATTTTATTCATTTATTTGTTTTTTTATCCTGTTAACACAGCACAAGTCTATTTTTCCTCTCCATATTCCTTTTGTAAGCCTACAGACCCTTCAACTTGGTCATCTTCTTCGCATTCACTTTTGGGTCTTTTTTGTTGAGCGTGACGTCGAGGCGACGATTATGAAGAGTACAGAGGGCGCCATCAGTCATCCAGCAGGTATCTTCCATGTCAGTGTCCCGTTATCTTGGCTGCGGCTCGAAATAGCACGTGCTGTTTAGGAAGCAGCAAGCTTGAGGCTCCTAGCTTTTTGTGTGAATATATGTGTTACATCTAGCCACAGCCAGATAATTCGGACAGGCCAAAATTTACGTGTACTTCCATTTCGCTTGCAGTTTGCAGTGCAGCAGAGTTGTAGACCATACCCGCGTGGCAAGTATTGCACCTGTTTCCGCCACGCCGATGAACCCTGTCAACACCAGGGGGCGTGTATTGTCATGTGAATGTAGCGCGGTGCGCGCTGATCAGAGCACTTCCGCAGTTGTGACTAGGTACTTCGGCACGTAGTGGCTGGTCATTTTACAAGTTTTTGGAGTACACCAAGGACCATCATCAGTGAAAGGTAAAAACACTGATATTTTTTAGCACCAGAACTGAATGCAGTTTCCAGCTGTCGCTCTGGGCCAGGAAATAAACTTGTTAACGAGGAGAAATACTTTCACCAGTGTAGGCCTACGTATACGCAGCATCTGCAGGGATTGACATGATTGATTTGGGTGTACAACAAATGCACGACGCATTTGAATATTCTGTCCGATTATTTTCAAGTTCACGACTTTTCAACTTCAGCCTCCAAACTTGTCCTAATATTGTTTTCTGGTTCACATTTTGCTTTCTTTTTATATTTTGGTAAATGACAGAACAGGTATTGAGGTAGGCCTATGAGTATGACATAGTTTATGTCTGTTGGGTGCAAGCAGTCAGTGGACCGTTTTGTACAATTTGACGATATTTTTCTGTTATCAGCTGGTGATATTCTTTCTGTCATAGTTGTGCAAGATTGTTTAATGAGGTGAACAATCAACTGCACCACAATCAACCAGTCTTGCAGATCTACTAACTATGTCTGATAAAGTTAATTCAGTCTTGTTTATCATGTTATGTCATGATTAAATATGTTTGCCTCTAGAGTCAAGACTGGCACTAGTGGTAGAATGAGTCGTTTCCAAACATCTAAATTCAAGAATGCCTCAGCAAACGTCGCCAAGAAAGAGGTATGTGGAGGGAATACCTTTGGGGCATCTCTTTGTAAAATCACTATATTCACTAATGAGTGAAACTAATTTATGGCATTTTAAATTTGAAGTAGAAGACTATGTGCTTGAGTGTGATTTCACTATAGCAATGGATCTATTCAGATTGGGTTGTGAACCAGAGACTCAGTACCAGCTGTTTCTTTTAACAGACTTCCATGTTTAAGCTGTTTCGTGTATTCGTCCACAGTACAGATCTACGACTTTCACAATTGTGATCAGTTGCCCAAACCAACATCAACTACCTTCACCCAACCCAAGAATAAAGCTTCACTTTGATTTATGTCCTGTGTTCTTGTAGCATTGGTTCAGCGATCTGCGTACAGGGTCGCCATCATCATGCGGCAACCACATCAAGGCCAGCTGCACTCTCATGGCCTTCAACACCAGCAACACGGGTCAGTGCGTTTGTTCCTGGATCAACCTATCGGCTGAATGCACTCAGGAGCCCTCTTGTGGCAGACTCACCAGACTAGAGTTAAAGAGCGGACAGCCAGTGCCATGTGCCGCCTGCTGCACCCTCACAAAATTTTCTTACCTCAAGGAAATCGAACAGAAAGCTCAGTGTACTACAGTTGATGCATATCAGTAGCTTGCTGTGTACACTTTACACGGCATACACAAGTAATATGCCTCATGCTTCCAGTGATGCACAATTGCTTTCACGCAGAAATGGTTTGAAAGCAGTCAGTTAATTTAAAAGCAGCCTCAACAGTTGTTGCAATTTTGATTGTGCATTTGATAAAGGTGGAGGAATTTGACTTAAAGTATGTCTCTGGTTTTCAGAATTGAAGCTGTACTGTAAGGCTGCATCCGAATCTCTTGTGTAGAGCTAGGTCTAGGTCTTCCCTGCCTTAGAAATGCGTGGAGACGCGCAGACAATAGACCTAGCCGTAGCTCTGGAAGCCCGTTTCGGACACAGCCTAAGTGTCTTTAGCCAGCCTATTTACCAGCTCTGGGCTCAATTTCATGGCTTTGCCTGCCACATAATATATACAGAGCTGACGATCGCCATTGTGTCCTTGCAGTGCTAACATAGAAATTGGATGCCAGGCAAGTAAGCAAAGAAACCTACGGAAGCAAAATTTCTTAGCTGACGTGTAAAATATGCTAACCCTTAGAGAAGAATTTTCTGTTGTGATTAGCCAAACCTTTTGTTCACGGTAAGCAGTGCCATGAAATTGGGCCCAGGTACTGGATATTGACATCAGTTTGGAATGATTTTGTCTTTAATGTACATTTGTAAAAATCATTGTACACATGTATTTACTGAAAAAAAAATTGCTTACCATTGTTTACTTCAATAGGTGGAGGCACTTTGGGCATAATACCACTAGATAAATGTGGACGGGGTTTGTCATCACTACCCATGTTGCATGCCCATGGATCTCTAGTGACAGATATGGATTTCTCACCCTTCGATGACTACATGCTTGCCACATGTTCAAATGATAACACGGTATATAATTAAACATCGATTACTAACCTGGACCCCCCAAAATGCTGTTACTTATCAGTGAAAAGTTTTGATCCTTGCCACGTGGCAGTTATTCTCTTTTCTGCATTGATTAGTGAAAACTGGGCCTTTATGAAAGATAGAGATGTCCAGCTCAAAGTGTTGACCCAAACAATGAAACATCACTGATTGCTGTCTGTGGCCGGAAATCTATCTGCAAGCAGCCTCACTTTGGAAACATTGCTTGCAAATTTTAATTTCTCCGCAGTGTATATGTCATGACTTAGTAGAAGGAGCCATGCTAATTTCTTTTGATCTTGTGTGCGCAGAACGAAAGCGATTTTTCAGCTCTTTATTTTGTACATTATATTAAAACCTGTTTAGACCAGAAGGTGATATAGCTCTTGAGGATTTCTGAAAAAAAAAGTTAGTAAAACTCAGGGAATCTGAGAGAAACTGACCATTAGCTACCCCTGTACTTTTCAGTGGTCCACACTGGGGGTTTTTTGGCTGCTGTGCTGTGGATGATTACGAACTTGTTAGTAAAAAGGGTCATGCAACTTTGTGAAATATTGTTTCTGTTGCATGAAAAACAGTGGTAGTCACTTTTACGAACTTAGCATGTGATGGTTATGGACCACCAGTCAATTCCTGTCTTTCAGACATGATATAACAATATTTGTGGATTTGTATGGGCTTTCCTGACAATTGTATTTTTCTCTCTGTCTCTCTGCAGATCAAGCTGTGGGACATACCAGAAGGTGGTCTGACAGAGAGCCTATCCACACCTGTTGTTACCATCCCCAAGCTAGCTAAGGTGGTCCAGAATGTTTTGTTCCATCCGACCGCAGAGGGTCTTTTAGCCTCCTCTTGTGACAAGACTGTTCAGATATGGGACATTGGCAAGGCACAGGAATGCGTAGGTGGGTTGGAATGCTGACTTTATCGGCCTGCTGAAGTCTTTTGTTGATAAAACAAGAATGCCTCATCTTAATCTAAAAATGGGATCTTGTCTCGTTAGTCCCGTGGTCAGGCAATGAAATTGCCAACTGTACAGAGAATTCCCGTTTCTTAAAGAGTAGAGCAAAACGTATGAGATAAAATTAAGCCAACTTTACTAACCTTTGAAATTCTTTAAAATGTCCATGTGGCAACAACAAGGCCCTTTTAAGTTCACAAGCCAACTTTCAGGTTTATGTTGCGACTTTACGGCCTGCTGAGTTTGCAAGTTTTCTTTCCAATTCCCCAAATCCTTCCACTTCTCAAGAATGCACAGTGTGCTGAAATCAACTTTTGCACAAAATGTATCTGTGAAAAAATGTTCATTTCTGTAGCCATGGAGGTGCATCAGGAACAGATCCAGGGTATCAGCTGGAAGCAGGATGGTGTTGTCATGGCGACCACAGCCAAAGACAAGAAACTGAGAATCCTTGACCCCAGACAGAACACTGTTTGCTCAGTAAGTCAAACTAGAGTGATTGCTTCAGTGTGTGTGCTAATTTGAACCTCTGAACAAAAGAAGTCTGCATACTGGCAGTGGTAAGAAGATATTTTTTGTATTTTTCAAATGGGACTTTTCGATGTCACCAGAACATCAGTACCAGCACCACTAGGGCCAAAACTGTTTACCTGGAAGGGGGCGAGAAGGGACAAGTGTTCCATATGACGGAAACAAACCGTGACAGGGATCAGTGTTGTCCTACCTGCAGGTGGTCCTTGTTGCAGTCCTTTTGGTTTGGACAAGTGTAATGTCCAGTAATAGTTGGATGGCTGGTGTGTTGGTCAGTAAGCATTTGGCAACAGTGCACAAAGTTTGACCTCAAGTGTCATTGAAAACTGAGGCAGCTAAGTGATTAAATCTTTTGGTATGTTCTGTTGGACTTTGTTTTTTGAAATGTAGGTGCTAGTATATCTTTCTAGCCTGACGGGTTGTTTTGTTTTCACGATGTTTGCAGGAAACAGATGGTCATTCTAACAACAAGGATTCACGAGTTTGCTGGTTGGGGAGTACAGATCTCATTCTCTCCACTGGATTTGACAGGGTGATGAAACTGAACAGTCGGTGACCCAGTCCCCTATTGTCATTCTCATATCACTGTGACTGTTTTTTTCAATTAAGGCCCTTCAAAAGGAATTCCTGTCAAAATTCGTAGGAATCGCCAATGCTTAAAAGAATCTCATATTTGTCGAGATTGGCTGTAAGAAACACAAAATCAGAAACTGACGGTGCTTTTTTGCTTTTTTCTGATGCCTTGAAAGAAATTGACAAATTAAACTGTGTATCGTTAATACTCACTTTTTTGTTCAATTGCAATATGAACCCATTGCTAATTACTTTGAATCATTGATTCATCCCCATAGTAAATCCAAATGTGATATCCATCTCGGTGGTTTACCACTGTTGGTTTTTGAAATAAAATCTTCATTCTGATTTAGTGGATGTCTTTATATTTTGTAGAAACATAATGGTTTCCCTTAATTAAAGATTTTTCACCAAATTTTGGGTTTTCTCTGCGATAGGGAAGATGCCGTGAGATGTGTGTATGGGACCAGCGTCAGTTTACTAGTTCTGTTTGCAGTCACTCCGTTGATCAATCTACTGGGTAAATGTACTGTACTCTAAGTGTTGCTGTGTAATTCTGTGCTCAGATTTTTTGACTTTTTCTTTTGCTGCTGTAGTCTATTATCACTTGGAAATTTTGGCAATATCAAAGTATTTCTGTCTTTCTGAAACTTGTGGTGTTTCTGCCCTTGTTTTGCAGTACTTAGGAAACTGCCTCTACCTGTAATATCAATAAACTGAATAACTAAATATTGTACAATGTAATCTTGTCTGAAGTACTCGTTAACGTACAATGAATTTCCAAAGTGGTTCCCAGTATTGTTTGCTATGAGACATGTCTTCCACTGGCTGTACTGTTTGGTCTGCAAAACAGGCTTTACAATCTTGTCCTGCAGTTCCTAAATACTGTGTATGTTTATTTATCAAGCCATTGATTTAGTGTACTCTTTATTTTCTTGTAGGACCCTAATGCCTTTGTACGACCCTGATACAAACATGTTGTTTGCCGTGGGCTCTGGAGATACGACTCTCAGATACTACGAGGTCACATTGTCATCGCCGTACATCACTGACAGTAAGAAACTCTCAACCATCGTCTCTGTTGCCATGGCTACCTCTAGTATTTCAGTTCTTTGTTGTAGTTACTGCTTACATTGTTTGAAAAAGTTACATGGATTCCAATAAAAATTTGAGAAGTGTGAGATTTAAAAACTATAATACTGTACATATTTTTTAATAGATAAAAAATGTTTGGTCTTCATGCGGACTGTTGTGCGCAGTGACGTGCTGTGGTAACAGATCATTTTTCAACATTGTGTTTCCCTCTGTAGGGAGCACGCAGTCACTTCCCGAGCAGACAAAAGGCATTGCCATGGTTCCCAAGCGAGCCTTAGATGTCATGTCATGCGAGGTTGCCAGGTTACTGCTGCTAACGGCGACTGCTGTGGTCCCAATTCCATATGTGGTCCCTCGAAAGGTATGTCTGTCTCTTAGAAAGCACCCAAGATTCTAGATTGAAACCAACTTGCGTGCCTTGAACCTCAACCCACCTGATTCCAGTAGCATTCAAGTCTGAGGATTTCGATATACTGCAGTAACCAAGAGCTCAATCAAAAGATTTCTTGTTCTTTGCAAAAATCAATAAGATCCTCTGGGTGAAGTGCTTTTCTTGTAAGTCTTGTAATTGGACAAGTTCTTAACTCAACAGCCATTAATCTATGTGGGACCAGATGTTCACACTTTTGTTGAAGAATGAACTGCCGTGTGCTGTGTAATGTTGGTTTTTTCACCAGATTGAAGGGAATTCAAAGCAGGAACTCAATTTTGGGGGTTAGGTTTAGACGTGGTACAAGAACCTTTGACTTTCATTTGCCTCAGTTTTTCTTAATGTGACTCAACCTTTCCTTCAGTCACACCGTGATTTTTATGGTGAGTTGTTCCCGGACACCAATGGAGACGAGGCTGCTTTGTCGGCAGCTGATTGGCTTGCAGGATCTGATAAGCAGGTGAATTCAGTGTGGTCATTGTGGGCTTTTGCTGACTAGCTTGCAGATTTTTCTTATGATCTTAGATAATTGTAAATAGTGCTGTATAAAGGTAGGACACATTGCTGATGTACACCAAGGCCAGTTTCATGGAGTATTTTAAGCACAGAAATTTGCTAAGTGCAGAAAATACATGCTTAGCAAGGACAGGATTCCAGCCCAAACACTCCTGCCCAAACACTTCTTACTGGAGAAAAATTCTCTGCTCATTTCTTTGTAGGTCAGAAATCTGCCGAGCAGTGATTAGTTTCCTGAAAGTGGAGCCAGGGGAATGGATTGGAGTACACATGAATATTTTTAAACTGAATATGCACAAAGACTGTATTTTTCAAGAAAAACATAATGAGTGTTTGCACTCAACAGAAATAGCTATGGCGTTCCTTTTAGCTAGAGTAAATAATGCCAATTTTATCATCGTGGCTATGGTAATGTATAGCGTCCATATTTGTGTTTGATTGACTTTCCCTTTACTTGATTCCCAAATTCAATTTCCAGGTTGTTAAGGTTTCCTTGGATCCTGCCAAATGCAAGCCAGTCAAAAAGAAGGATAAGGAAGGGTTGCCATCGGCTACCGCTTCAAAACCAAAGCTGGAACCCAAGCCAGCTGTTAACAATCCACCATCTGTAGAAACGACACAGCAGCCGAAACAGCCAAGCACAAAGGTACACATTCCTGTCCTGATTGGGGAGCAATTCAAAATTGGGAATGTTGGCTTGTAATCTCGTCAATTCATCGAATGCAATCAGTGGCAGGCCAAGTTAGAAGTCAGTTCAAAAGTAGTGAGGGACATGTTCATGACAACAGAACAATGGAATGCCTCTGTTACATTTCAACTGAACAGCGTGTTACTTGATGCAAGAGTGAATGACTTGTGATTGACCCCTGGTTGACTTGAGATGTCATGTGATGACTTCAGGTAACTGCTGAGGACGTGAAAAGATTTGTGAGGATGTGAAATAACTTGTGAGGAGTTGAATGCAATCTGTCAGAAGGCTCCTGTTCTTTTGAGAATGTACTGTTTGGTTCACAGCCTGCACAGGTAGATCTTCCCATTGGAGAACTCTTCACATGTGGAAGCTATGCGTTAATCTGAAAAGAAATTATATTCTCATTTGAAACTTGACAGGTAGTCTGAGATTTGAGACTTCTCTTCAGCCTTGTTCTTGCTTGAAGTAGCCATCCGGGTTAATTTCTTTGCAAGCATTGACTTGGGCCAAACTGTGATGTTAAATTCTAAGCTGAACTTTTTGGAATGATCCCAATACTAAATATAAAAAAAATAGCTCCATTCTCGGAAAAAATGGCAGGAGTTAGAGTCGATCAAAGTAATGTGATAACAATGATGAGTCATGTGTTTTTAATCCTCAGCCTTCCCCAGCGTCTTCTGAGGGAGCTAGTGAGGTCACAGGCAAGCTGGCAGCATCGTCCTTGCAGACCCAGAGGCCGTCACAACCACAGGCCAGCACTCGGGGAGAAGGAGATAATACTGCCAATGTAAGTGCTGGCTACTGTGACTGTTGATTCTTATCCAACCTCACACAAATTCCCTCCATCATACAAGAAGAAATATATCACGTGCTATGGGACAAGCTCTAACAACTAACATTACACTCTAGCAATGTTTTAGTGTGAGAATGGCAAGAAAAGATGAGACATCACCTCATTTCTGGCTTATAGTTTGCCCTGAATTGTGGTCCGTTGTAATAATGGCCTTCTCTAGAGTGCCTTGTCTTCTGGATAAAAGTCAATTTTGACTAGTCTCATAAGCAGCCATCCAGAAATAATAGGAGGAATCACTGCTGTTTAGTTTTAAGCTCTCTGTCTTGATGTGTCATGTTGGTATGCTGATGAAATCAGGCATTATATGAGGGAAAAATTGTGAGGGTTCATTTTTATTTACATTAGGATTCTTTTAAAAGCCTTTTAAGTTGAAAGTGTTATACTTTACGATATAGTGGTGATATAGTTTATTTTCATGTCTTTCTGAAGATTCATGTGATATTCACATATGAATGTAAATCAAAATAACGGAAATGATATGAGTTTTTAAGGTAAAAAAAGCAAATACTTGCACAAGCTATCTGGAACCTGATACTTACAAATTAAATAAATGTGTTCACAGGTGAATATTTCAGTTAAATTGTATAATTCATTGAGGTAGATAAGCTATTTCAATTGAAAAGAAAATCCGGAACAAAATGCAATATTCATATTCATGTAAATATGCATATTTTGCATTAAACATTACAAGGAAGGAAATAGACTAATCCAATAAAGGAACAGGAAGAAACGAATAAGAACAAAAAGAAGTGGCCAGGGAGTTATTAATGAGGACACATTTCCAGCAGTCTGTGGAATGACAAAAAATGGAGAATCAGATATTTAATTATCAGATTAATATGACAGGAGCAGTGCTTTAAGTTACTTCTTGAAATGTTTCATTGATCTAAAGGTTGAATTTGGCAAAAGTAGTTCTTGGCGACGTGTGACTCATTTTTAAAGGTTGTCTCATGTATTAATCAGCTCTTAAATTGTTTAATGGATTGAACTCACAAAAAAAAGGACCCTATGTCATTTCATGCACTCATTTTTCAGGACGTCCTTCAAGCAGCCAAGCCCAAGTTCACTGCGCCTACCGTCTCCAAGTTCCGTCACATGAACTCTGCCCTCATGCCCAGGAGCACACACATGTTTAACCTTCACAACCTGAGCAACAGCGTCTGTGGGGAGTGTGACGTCTTCCACGTCAATCTCAAGTGGGGGGCGGTGCCTCTCGGTGGGCCAGGCGGTTTAATAGGATTTGTGGATGTAAGTGTCTCAGTACCTT